AAATGCTGTGTGCCGTTTCAAGGTTAACTGAATACATCTCAGGAAGACTACAATCCTGGATCCTTTAAGTTCCTTTTCTGCAGGAAAAGTGTGTGCCAACCTTATTAGCTTGAGTGAGCTTACAGTTATGTAAGCATCTCCCAACTCTGACCATTTTAATTACTAAGACATGGAGACAGAACACACATATGCTGTGCTTCAGATTATGGTGGGATGGACAAGTCAGATACAAGCAAGCTCTATGAAGAAAGGAATGAATTGAACCTTGTATCTGTCTAAAGACAAGCACTGTTACATAATCCAGCCCCATGGTAAGCTAGCGTCCCACTAAAGGTGCAGCATGCCAAACCACTCAGATGGTCCCACTGCATATGGAGTTCCTACCAAAGATATCTGCCATCCCCTTTCCCTGTTAGATTCCTTTTTGATGCACACAGAATGGCTCTAAGTGGTTTCTCTAAAGCAGAACAGAGTTTGTAGGTCACTTGGAGTCCAAAATAGATCAGCTAGCAGTTGCTCTTGGCCTAGTGATCTAGATTCCAAATTTCAGAACCTAAGAAATTCTATCAAGGTTTAAACAAGGGAACCCTTTAGATAACCTGACATATATGGGATGGAGATATCTGTATCACCTAAAACTTTTTAGGCCTTCTCATTCCTTAGCATCTTCTCTTTAGCCCTTGGCAACTCTGAATATGAAAATAACCAAGGGCTAATTAAGACAAGAGGAAAAGCTCAGAGGATCTGAACCCAGGCAAATACATGCTTCTTTGGTCTTCGCAGCTCTATGTTTTCTTGTCTTGTTAAGCCAGTGGCAACCCAGTTGTATGGGACAAATTTGGAATGTAATGTAAGCAAGGTGCTTTAACCATAGAACAGGAAGAATTTAAGCAGTAACTCACATAAAAAACAAATTTAAATAGCAGTCTTACTTGCTTAGCCCAAGTTCAGGTTTAAGATTGCAGGATCCTACGGGCAGGTCACAGAACTAGCTGCACAGAACACTTAAGTCAGGAAGTAACTACCACTGCTCTCAACCTATACTTAGAACTTTGCAAAGAAGAGTTAATTTAGGATTTTTAATGGTTAAGAATTTTTAACCCATCTTGGTGTGGAAGAACTATTCTATATACCCAAATACTTAATACAAGCATACTGCGATTCACAGATACTGCCTTTTTTTCTTCTTTTTTTTTTTAAAACAAATTGAAGATTTCTGGCAACCCTGTTTCAAGCAAGTCTATCAAGTCATTTTTCCAATAGCATGTGCTAATTACCTGTCTGTGCCATATTTTGGTAATTCTCACAATATTTCACACTTTTTCATTGTTATATGTTATGATGATTTGTGATTAGTGAACTTTGATGTTATTATTGTAACTGTTTTGGGGCACCATGAACTGCACCCATTTAAGACAGTAAACTTAACAAATGTGTTTTGATTGCTCCACTCACCAGCCCCTCCATCTCTCTCCCTCTCCTCAGGCTTCCCTACTTTGAGACACAACAATATTGAAACTAGGCTAATTAGTAACTCTACAATGGCTTCTAAGTGTTCAGGTGAAAAGAAGAGTAGTCACACATCTCTCACTTTAAATCAAAAGCTAAAAATGATACAGCTTAGTGAGAAAGGCATGTCAAAGCTGAAAGAGGCCAAACGCTAGGTCTCCTGGGGCAAACAGCCAAGCTGTGAATACAAAGTGCTACTCTGGTGAAAGCCGAAAAGCCTTATTACTGATATGGAGAAAGTTTTAATGGTCTGGATAGAAGATCAAACCAGCCACAAATTTCCATTGAGCCAAAGCCTAATCCAGAGAAAGTCCCTAAATCTCCTTTCAGGGGCTAATAGCTGGTGACTTCAAGTTAAAGCCAATACTCACTGGCCATTCCAAAAATCTTAGGGCCCTTAAGAATGATGCTAAATCTACTCTGCCTGTGCTCTGTAAATGAAACAAAGTCTGGATGACAGAACATCTGTTTAGAGCATGGTTTACTGAATATTTTAAGCCTGCTGTTGCGACCTACTGCTCAGAAAAAAGACTCTTCAAAATATTACTGCTCATTGACAATGTACATGGTCACCCAGAAGTTATGATGGAGATATACAAGGAGATTAATGCTGTTTTCATGCCTGGTAACAAAATTTCTATTCTGTGACCCATGGATCAAGGAGTTATTTAGACTTCCAAATCTTATTATCTAAGAAATACTTTTTTTGTAAGGCTATAGCTGCCACAGATGGTGATTCCTCTGATGGATCTGGAAAAAGTAAATTGAAAACCTTCTGAAAAAGATTCACCATTCTAGGTGCCATTAAGAATAATCAGGATTCATGGGAGGTGGTGAAAACATCAACATTAACAGGAATTCAGAAGAAGTTTACTCCAACCCTCATGGATGACAATTTTGAGGGTTTCAAGCCTTCACTGAAGGAAGGAACTGTGGATGTGACAGAAATAAAAAGAGAACTAAAGTTAGAAGTGGAACCCAAACATGGGTCTGAATTGCTGTAATCTCATGATCAAACACGGATTAGGAGTTGCTTCTCATGGATGAGCAAAGAAAGTGGTTTCTTGGGAAGAAATCTGCTGAAGATACTGTGAATGTTGAAATGACATGAAGAATTCAGAATATTACATAAACTTAGTTGATAAAGCAGCAGCAAGTTTTGACAGGACTGACTCCAATTTTGAAAGTTCTATTGTGGCTTAAATGCTATCAAACAGCGCTGCATAGGGATCTTTTGTGAACGGAATAGTCAATCTGTGGGGCAAACTTCATTGCTGTCTTAAGAAACTGCTGTAGTCACCCCAACCTTCAGCAACCACTACCCTGATTAGTCAGCAGCCATCAATAGCAAAACAAGACTATCCACCAGCAAAAAAGATTATGATTCACTGAAGGCTCAGATGATTGAATTTTTTAGCAATAAAGCATTTTTAAATTTAAGGTATGTACATTGTTTTTTAGATAGAATCTTATTATACATGTGATAGACTACAGTATTGTGTGAATAAAACTTTTATATGCACTGGAAAACCAAAAAAACTCATGAGACTCACTTTATTGTGATACTTGCTTTATTGCAGCGGTTTGAAACTGAACCTGCAATATCTCCGTGGTATGCCTGTACCCCCTGAAAAAAAATATCTAATATGAAATACACAACTATGTGAATATTGAGATGACACATAGGGAACATCTTGATGCAGTTACCTTGCCACATATTTCAGTAGCAAACCAGTGCCAAACATACTTTTAGGCACTAAATGACTTAATATATTCCAAATCTACTCCTTGGGGGGCCACATACTGACAGTGATCACTGACATACTTATTTCTACAGTAACATTTAAAATGACTATGGAAGCAAAATTTCCCACAGTTCAAAGAAACAAGGGCAAATGCGTATTTAAAGTGTCTGTATCTGGTATAGGGAAGAAAGTATTGCACGGTGATATGATCTGGTTGTGTCCCCACCCAAATCCTATCTTGAATTGTAACTCCCACAATTCTCACATGTCATGGGAGGAACCCAGTGGGAGGTGACTGAATTATGGGGGTGGGTCTTTCCTGTGCTATTCTTGTGATAGTGAATGAGTCTCACGAGATCTGATGGTTTTAAAAATGGGAGTTTTCCTGCACAAGCTCTTTTTCCCTGCCACCATCTATGTAAGACTTGACTCGCTCTTCCTCGACTTTCACCTTCTGCCATGATTGTGAGGCCTCCCCAGCCATGTGGAACTTTTAAGTCTAATAAACCTCTTTTTTTGTAAATTGCTTAGTCTTGGTTATCTCTTTATTGGCAGCATGAAAATGGACTAATACACACAGCTATACAAAAGCTGCCTGTTAAGGCAGTATCAATATTATTAAACATTAAAAAATACTAGTTTCAAGGTTGTTTGGGAGTCTTAAAGCAGTCTAATTATATCTTCATTAGAATCTTCCTTAGAAACACTAGTCAAAACACACTGTACCATGAAACAGATCAGTTAACTGAAATAAAGATAAGACCAGGAAGTCCTATAGATACCTGGTTATAACCCTGATGCTCATCAAGTGCCCATTCTGCACAAGTTTTCGTGGAAAACTGGAGGAATTCTACAGTAAGAGCAATAAAAGTTTGGTACAGTAACTACTGTATAAGTCCACTTCATTAATTATCCATAATAATTTACGTTAAATTGGAAATCTGTATTTACATTAAAATATTAAATCCTCATGACTTAACAAAGGGATGATTAATACAGAACTTTTAAGGTTACAATGGAAACAGTCTTTCCATATTAAAGAGAAAAACCTCAAAAAACCCAATTATTCTAAATTTAGAAACTAGTAATCTTTTTCTTTAGGTAGCAATTATAAATATTAACTATACTTAAAAGTGCACATCTCACAAATGAATAGAAACAGGTTCCCTCAATTTTTTTTTCCACATGACAATTATGATTTAGTGAAAGGATATAACATAGGAATTAGTGCCTAAACAAGCAACATTTTTAAAGAGCACCTAGTCTCAAGTCAATTTTTGTGATGTCAACTGCGTTTCATTAAAACACATAGCAAAAGAAACCTTTTCTCTCTGATCTGGAAGAAGAAACAGACTCTACTTTTCTACTACTACTCTACCCCAAATAAATCCTCCCTTCCTTAAGATAATGGATGTTTATGATTCAAGAGCCAAACATCTAATTTGATCATAGTTTAATAAGCAATTCCCACAGAATTAAAAATCATAAGTGATTAATATAACCAATAAGCATAATAACAAGGATATCTTACAGCTGTGTGACATTTTATTGTGTTTGTAAACTGCTTTTACATAAAATAGCTGCCTGTGAAATTTTTAGAGGGTCCAGCTATGATCAAATGTAGCTGGAATACTGCCACACAAGGTGTCTGGGGAATGAATCATGAGAGTTGTGTTTCTTTCTTAAAACAGGAAAAAAACAATCTATCTTCACTTTTTGAAGATGCATAAAAAATTAGTTTCTCACCTTCTGGTATTTCTGCCACCATTTATATGAACACTGGTCTTCCCTTGAGACAGGTTTTGAAGGAAATATCTGGCACTTATTGAGGGATTCTAACTGAACTGCAGACATGGTTGAAGGCAACACACATTCGGGAAGAATTTGCACTTTAGCTTGCTGGATTCTAAAATAAAGAGAACCAAGCATGGTATTCATTTCTAAAATCGACTAAAACTATAAGTTTCTAAACAGTGATAATTTTAAATACTATGATTTTCCAAGTTTTATCTTTTAAACATTCATCAAATACTGATGTTTAGATATAGAAATTTTCAGAAAATAATTTTATTTCATAAATCATACCAAAGTTAAAACCAAAGATAGCCTAAGGTATGGATTTTCAATGTCACTGTGGAATGGAAAGGGAGATCTACACATTTCAGATAAATGCAGAGTCTATAAATGAAACAAAGTTTTAAAAAACCAACATACAACTAACTACTGCTTGATACTTCTAATTTCTTAAACATTCTTTAGACACCCAAACTCTTCTATCCCCCCACTTCTTATGCTGCTTAACTCTTACATCTATTCTTTCCCATAAGTCATCTGAGTAGAGAAAGGAAGAGAAAAATCAAGAATGCATTTACATGGATGAATTAAAATAATACTAGGGAATTACATGCAATCTTTCTGTATGCATTCCTTTTCACATTAAAAGTTTATCTGTACAGAGGATCAAACTATACATTAGATTCTTAAAAGTTATTTAAAATGTCATAATAAAGTCTTTTCCAAAATGCTACTTGAGAATATCATAATTGCAAATATCTGATGAACTAGTGCAAACAGGAAGGTTGTATGCATGAGCTATCTTCCTGTGAGGCGCTGTATCTCTTAGAGTGTAGCTTTTGAAATGTAGAATATGTAACTATATTCAAATGCTAGTATAAAACACTGTCAGACTGACAAAGTCAAATATATTAAAAGTCTCTGCTTTATTAGTTATACTTAAGACTTCTAAAGTAGTCTTTCATAATAACCCCTGTTTGACCACAAAATATTATGGATGAAATTCTGACATTTTACTTATTTATTAAAAGGAAAAATAGCTGAGTGTGTTAGAAAGTACCTAGGTTTAATTTAATGATAATAGTAGACTCACTCTACCAACTTTATTTCCTTCCTGCAAACTCATTAGAAATACTCAAAAAATTTGTCTACATGATTTGGGAAAATGTTAAAACATTTTACTATAGTCAAACTATGGTCAAGTGTTCTTATGTTACTAGAGCTCATTAGAAACAAAATCTCAATTTCCTTCACCTGATTCATGAACACAAATAACCTGTTAATTATATTATGAAGACAAAAGTATATACCATCCTATGGAAATTTTTAGAAATCTGATTCTTCTTTAAGGTTATAGGAAACTGAATTAAGAATTTTGCTTTACCAAACTATTGTGTAAGATTTGATTATGATAAAAACAGTAACATTATTGATCCTGTGGCTTACAGATCATGTTAACAGTCTGCAGTACAAGCTGTTTGAATTGCCTTGAAGGATGAAAGAATGCTCTCCTTTACCTGGTTAAACACGGCCAGGATCCACTGCATACGCAGTGGCTGGTTCTCCCAGCAGCTGAGTTTTGTTTTTAACATAAGCCAGTTTTTTTTCTTTCCAACCTGTTTATCAGAGTTGTTTTGTGATTACAGCAACATAATTTATATAAATGTTATAAAAACCAGTGAAATATGAGTACAACAATAAAATTGCTTCAAGGAACATTAAGTAGAGACATAAAAAAACTGCTTTCAACTTAGGTATATGCAACTTTAATAGGAAAAAAACCGCACAAATCTGGAAAATTTCTGCACTCAAATTGCCTTGTGACTATCTTTAGAATCCCTCTTTAAAGAAAAACTAGCAGTATAAACTGCGGATAATATACAATGAAAGTGCTAGAAAGTCTGCAGTCATCTCCAATGTGCAGACCTGCTTCAATTAAAAGACGTTGGTCTCCCCAAATGAAAAATGAATGAATTTATACATTTTAAGTTAAAATAAAATGTTTAAGCTATATATGTGTAACATTTTGTGATTTCCAGCTTCAACGAACTTTCTGACTAACAATTACTGGTCTCAGTCATGACAGGTAAGAGATCTTCTCTTGTGATGCCAACAGGATATCAATCCCCTCCTCCTCTCTACATGCTAACAAGTAGGAACTTCTGAAGAGTCCTATGTCAATGAGACCTGTGTTTTTACTAAAAAGAAATTTCTTTGTGTTCAGAAGATGCCCTTCCTGCCGCCCCGCCCCCCACGATTCTGGTTGTTGTATACTTTTTTTTTTGAGATGGAGTCTCACTCTGTTGGCCAGGCTGGAGTGCAGTGGTACAATCTCTGCTCACTGCAACTTCTGCCTCCCAGGTTCAAGTGATTCTCATGACTCAGCCTCCCAAGTAGCTGGAATTACAGGCACCATGCCCAGCTAATTTCTTTTATTTTTAGTAGTGATGGGGCTTCACCATGTTGGTCAGGCTAGTCTTGAACTCCTGGCCTTAAGTGATTCACATACCTTGGCCTTCCAGAGTGCTGAGATTACAGGTATGAGTCACCACACCTGGCCTCTGTAGTGTACTTTCAATAAATGAAGTGTCATTTAGGTAAAAGACAAATGGATATTTTTATTTTTTAATTTTTTTTTAGTTTTCTATATGCTTATTTCTCTAAAACAAATGAATATTAAATATTTTACTGGAGAAAGGGAAGGTGGCTTGAGTTTCAAATGTGCTATGAAGAAATCCTGGTATAAGGGAAGGAGTACCAGTTTGGAAGTCAGGGGACCTAGAACCAATCAGGTCTGTCGCTTATTTGCTGTTTAGGCAAATTACTTAACCTCTCTAGTACTTAGCATTCTGATATAGAAAAAGAGGAGACTGCACTAAATCATCTCCAGAATTTCTTTCATTTCACCACTTCCAGTGAAGGTGGTTACAGGGCCAGAGAAGTAGTGGAGCCAAGAGAAATCTCATTCCACAGAGGCCTTTTAAATGAAGACAGACATACCCTTATGAGAGACCTTAATAATGGGTCTACAGAATACTAGAGAGAATGTGTCCTTTCCAAGTCTTATCCGCCTGTATCAGTTTGATAGTAATCTTTTTTTTTCCTTTGAGATGGAGTTTCCCTCTTGTGGCCCAGGCTGGAGTGCAGTGGCACGATCTTGGCTCACCGCAACCTCTGCCTCCTGGGTTCAAGCGATTCTCCTGCCTCAGCCTCCCAAGTAGCTGGGATTATAGGCATGTGCCACCATGCCTGGCTAACTTTGTATTTTTAGTAGAGATGGGGTTCCTCCATGTTGGTCAGGCTGATCTCGAACTCCTGAGCTCCGGTGATCGTCCTGCCTTGGCTTCCCAAAATGCTGGGATTACAGGCATGAGCTACTGCATGTGGCCTGATGTTAAATCTTTACTAGAGTCAAGCATTCATTCCTTGTCTCGTTTTCAGAGTTAACGATATACTGCCATCTTGTGTTCAATAGTTTTTCCACAATCAAAACTCACTAATGTCAAGACAGTCTGAGAAATATACTTTTCCCCAAGTCAACTTTCCTTTATGGTTTCTAGAATAGTATTCACAATTGAGATTGTATGAAGTAAGAAGTACTTTAAAAATGGAACTGTTAGCAAAATCCACAGTAACAAAACAGTTTTCTAATTATCATAATGCAGACCACCCCCAGGAAATCATTCTTTCATTCATTTATATAACATTTATGGTCCTAAAAGTAAAACATAAATAAGTCTTGGTCATTGTTCTTAAGCAGGTTATCTATCGAGGGAGACAGACATATAATCCCATCAGGACAGGGCAATGTGGTAAGGCTATCAAAGTGTGCACAATGAATGTTCTGAGAAAGTACCTGGAGAGAACTAAACACCCTAAGAGCTCTGGCAATCCCATCTCACATTCCTCTATGCTCTCTTTAGCTCCAAGGAGCTATCTGACATGTCAACATTTCCATAATTAAAAAATATATAGGAATGCCCACCATGTGAACAAAATAGACAAAACGTTCCTGCCCTCATGCTGTTCACATTCTTTTTTCAGTCTTAATCCCCACCCCACCAAATAAAAACCCCAAAATACTCAGAACTTCCATGTGTTCAGAAGATACTACCTGGGCAACACAGAGGTCTGATGAGATTTTCAACTCTGGGTATAAATTGGAAACCAATTCACTAGTACTTGTATTGTGTACCAGGACTGTGTATCTGTAAGACCTCAGAGGTGATGTGCCACAGTTGAGAAGCACTCCCTTAAGAGATAATATCCAATGATCAAGGCAAATGCTTTACTTTGTTTCCTTTTTAAAAGAGGATCAAATAAGATAAACTGGACTTTTCTGTGTCTGCTTTAATGTGCATCCCTTGAATTTGTGCAAAACCCAGCCATTCGAGCTATGTCAAAATGAGTAACTGCTGAAACAGTACACTCAGGGAATTTCTAAATGTCACAAGGCACATAGACTACAAGTATTTATTGATCACTTATTATGTAAATAGCATTTCTGGGTGATATAAAATTCACACTGGAGAAGGACACTAAATATAAATGGCTTTTATAGCTCAGATGGAGCAGTTGGCAGATGTAACCCGTGTGGCTTTCAAACATCATAGCAATGCTACAAAAACCACAGCTGTCCTGGTGAGCACACAAACAGCTCACAAGCCTGTGGTCTCCCTCTTATGCTCTGAGAGGCCTTCAATCCTAAAGAAGCCAAGTCCCAAACAGCACCTCCCTTTGGATTTACATTACTATTCTCAAACCTGGAGAGACATTAGAATCACCTGAAAATCATTTTTAAAAGATGCTGCAGCCTCATCACTCTCTGGAGATGGGAGATGAGGTTGAAACTCAAGCTTCTATAGTTTTAAAAGCTTCCCAGGTGATTCTGATGCATAGCAAGGTTGGAAACCACTGGGCTATACCTTAGAAGGGAAAGAGAACAACTAGTTAAAAGTTACAAAATCTGAAAGGTCAGTAGAATAAAAAAGTACAAGAAAACTATTTCATTATAAAACATTCACAGAGCATTAAGGTGTATGTTATTTCTTACCCATCTGACTGTGTTCTTAGCTCAAGGACTTTGAACCTTTGTCTTCCAATTGCTTTCACTTTCACTATCTCAATTCCAAAATCCTGTTCTTCTCGATAGGCATATATCTCTGCTGTTGTTCCAAACTGTGCTTCCCTTTCCTGTATATTGCTTCCAAGACAATTTTAAAAGGAAAGAATTTTGAACATTTGAGTTTTAAATATATGCAAAGTATGCAAAAGCAATACATATGGGTAAACAATTTATAGACTCAACCCTTACTACAAAGCTAGTATAATTTTATTTATTTATTTGTTTGAGACGCAGTGTGGCTGCGTTACCCAGCCTAGAGTGCAGTGGCATGATCTCAGTTTGCTGCAACCTCTGCCTCCCAGGTTCAAGTGATTCTCCTGCCCCAGCCGCCTGAGTAGCTGGGATTACAGGCACACACCACCACGCCTGGCTAATTTTTGTATTTTTAGTAGAGATGGGGTTTCACCATGTTTGTCAGGCTGGTCTCAAACTCCCAACGTCAGGTGATCCACCCGCCGCGGCCTCCCAAAGTGCTCGGAGTATAGGCGTGAGCTACCGTGCCTGGCCAATTTTATTTATTTTTAAATCACATGGGGGATATAGAAGGAGGATTCAGGAAGTACGATTAGAGAATTTTAGGAAAAGAATAGATTTCTAGTCACTGAAAATAATTTAGAACTTACAGGGGTTTAAACTCATTTCCCAAACCAAACATTCTTTCACTCTGTCAAATGACTTATCATTTCTGCTGCTTACTGGCAGCACTGTACTGGGGTGGGAGCTTCCTGTATGTATTTCCTGCCTCTACTGCAGATTTCCTTTATTTGCCACGGGATACTTAACATTCAGCTTCAATTTAAAGGGTACAACCTATGAATTTTGAGAGACAAGGAAAGAAAAGACCACTCTTTTGGAAAAGTAATCCTTTAGGTTAAAATAAAAAAGCACTATTTCTCTTTAATAAAGACAGTTATTGAAACCAAGATTCCAGAAATGTTTTTCATCAAATATAAATGATTAAAAATTTTTCAAATACCAGAAAGTTAAATTGTGTATGAAGGTGTAGAGCTGAGTTAGATGGTAATTAAATGAACAAAAATACTCCAACTTGCACTATGAAACTTCTACTTAACCAAACTCCTAACCTCACATTCTTACCCAACCTCTCCTGTACATGCATAATAACAGCCTGCTTTGGCTTCAACAATGACCACCGCAATTACCCATGAGAGGAAATGTATTAAGCAAATGGACTCTAATATTTTACCTGTATGCAAGAACAGCAAAAGTTCTATCTTTCTGAATTAAATTCCGCACCATACTGACTTCTTGAGGGTGAAAAAGCTGAAGAGGCAATGTCTGTCCGGGAATCAGGATCATCATCACCTGTGGCAGAACTGGAATCACCTGACAGCTGTCATCATCGTGCAAAGTCCTGCCATGAAATTCTTCCATATCAGCGCCTAGGTACTATTTAAGAACATATATAGGTACAGCGTCATGATCGATATGTAATAAAAATATAAGCTCAACAGACTAAAGAGCAAATCACATTAAAAGAAATACAGGCCAGGCACAGTGGCTCACACCTGCAATCCCAGGACTTTGGGAGGCCGAGATGGGCGGATCACCTGAGGTCAGGAGTTCAAGACCAACCTGGCCAACATGGTGAAACCCTGTCGCTACTAAAACTACAAAAATTAGTTGGGTGTGGTGGTGGACGCCTGTAATCCTAGCTACTCAGGAGGCTGAGGCAGGGGAATCACTTGAACCCAGGAGGTGGAGGCTGCAGTGAGCCGAGATTGTGCCACTGCAGTCACTCGAGCTTGGGTGACAGAGCAACGCTCTGTCTCAAAAAAAAAAAAAAAAAAAAATACAAATGGGGTTACAAACACTTAATAAATGTGGTATATAAGCATCCCATGTGAAAATATAATTTTTAATCTAACTTTAACTCTTAGAAGAATTTCTAATCTTTTATGAAGAATATCTCACAAACACAGAAATTCAAGAATTTTTTAATACAAAGTATTTTATTTTTACCAAGAAATATCTCTATGTCCAAATATCACAAACAGCAAGTAAAAAATGTATGTTCAGTAACACTCTAGTACCTAGAAGTACAGAGAAGTATTTAATAGCTCAATTACTAGAAAGACTATAAAGAGCAACAATTCTTCAAACAATTCCACCACAACATAGTATTACTTCTTCAAAATTATAGTTAAATATTTATCTACTGGCAAATAGCCCATGTCCTCATCCACAATTTCTGATATCTAGTAATACAAATATCAGTCACTTGTTTTTATGAACTTTTATCTACATTTAAATGTGTATCTATTATATTAGATCTATCACTAAATTACATACTGTATGTGATGTTGGCAGACTGGTGTCAAAATTTATGATGTTTGGTTTTTTGGCTTCTTTACTATCCTGGTCTTCAACTTCCATTTCATCTTCTTCCTCACTCTCTGCTGTAAGAGTAGAATATTGTAAGAAAAAAAAAATGAATGAAAACCTTTCAAACACATAATTCCTTCTTCAAAAAAGGGGTACTTCTAAAACCACATGCATTTGGTAAACTCTACAGTACTGTGAAGAGGCAGTCAGAGGGCTGGGGTCTATGCTGGGCTCTGTCAGTAGCTATTTTTTTTTTTTAAGTCAACTGTGAATTTTAGAATAGTTTAACATTTATAGAGAAGTTGCAAAGATAATACAGAGTGCTCCTGTATGTCACACACCCTTTTCCCCTATAGTTAATTTATATCAGTATGGTACATTTGCCACAACGAAGGAATCAGTCTTGGTACATTACTATAACTAAACTTCACATTTTATTTGGATCCCCTTAGTTTTTATCTAATCTTTTTGTGTTCCAGGATCCCACATTACATTTAGTTATCATGTTTCCCTACCCTCCTCTGGGCTAGTGTAGTTTTCAGACTTTGCTTGTTTCTGAGTTTTGAGGAGTACTGGTCAGGTATTTTGAAAAGTATCCCACAACTGGGTTTTGTTGATGTAATTCCCACAATTAGACTGAGGATACGTGTTTCAGGGAGGAAAAAGTGAAGTGTTGTTATTCTTTTGTTTTTTAGAAATGGGGTCTGTCGCCAATGTGCTGTTTTTATTACATATCAAGCCTACATATTATGAACTAGTCCTGCTATGAACCTTGATCACCTGGCTAAAGCAGTATGTGTCAGGTTTTCCCACTATAAAGTTCCTTTCCCCCTCCTTTTCACATTATACTCTTTGGAAGCAAATCACTAGGTGTAGCCTCCACTTAAGCGGTGATGAGTTATGCTCCACTCCCTTGAAAGGGAAATACCTATATACGTTATTTAAAATTCTTCTATATGGGAGATTTTTCTCTTCTCCCTCACCAGAAACTAATTTTAACACCTTAGACAACTCATTCTGCCCAATTAAATTTTAGTTTCCTCATCTGCAAAATGACAGGCTTAAACACGTCAACCTCTAACGTTCTCTCAAACTCTCAACTTGAAAGAGTTCCTACATAAGTAAGAAAAGAAACCAAAGCAGGCAAGATCTGTTAATTAAAACAGAGAAAGATAATCTGGCAGGAAGAATTTCATAGCATTTTTCTAATGATAACATTTCCGTGGCTGTCACTACATTATTTTAAAGTGAAGGCCAGGTGTGGTGGCTCACACCTGTAATCCCAGCACTTTGGGAGGACGAGGCAGGCAGATCACTTGAGGTCAGGAGTTCAAGACCAGCCTGGCCAACATGTTGAAACCCCATCTCTACTAAAAACACAAAAATTAGCCGGGTGTGGTGGCAGGTGCCTGTAATCCCAGCTACTGGGGAGGCTGAGGCAGGAGAATTGCTGGAACCCAGGAGGCGGAGGTTGCAGTGAGCTGAGATTGTGCTACTACACTCCAGCCTGGGTGACAGAGCAAGATTCCATCTCAAAAGAAAAAAAGAAATTTTTGCAATCATTTTCATACTATTTTGCTTAGTAATTTTAAATTTAAAAATAAAGTTGCATGAAGCATAAAACATTTTAGAAGAACGTCTTAGAAAACTAGATGTTACCAATGACAGCAAAGAAAATTAGAAAATGCTACACAATACAAATGCTATTATACTAACTGTGAGTCTGTCCGTTTCATACAAACTATGAGTAAATTTCCTATCCTAGACCAGTGATTCTCAACCACAGGTGATTTTGCCCCTCAGGGGATACTGGTTGTAATAACTAAGGGAGTCTGACTGGCATCTAGTGGGTAGAGGCCAAGGATGCAGCTAAATAGCCTACAATGCAAAAGACAATCCCACCCAAAGAATTCTCCAGCCCAAAAGTCAAGTGCTGAGGTTGGGAAACCCTGGCCTAGACTAACAATAAAGAATTACTGAATCTCATTTCTCACCTCCCAGTTCCTATATTTTTAAACGCCCCAAACAAACTTCTAAATCAATAAAATGTCAATACAAAATAATCATTTTTTTCCTTTACATATCATTATTTAAGTCAAACCACCTGTAGCCAGGTCCCTGACAGAAAATAAAAATGTTTTTCAATATGGTAACTGCCTTGGACTTTCTATTCATTGTTACAATTTCCCAGATACAAAACTTTGTCAAAAACAGAATTACTTCAACTTATATGTAAATAGTCAATGGTCTAACACTTCATACAAATTTTCCTTGGAACATGTAAGTTTCACCAAAAGATAAAAAAGGGCAATCTAAATGGATGAGAAAAATATTCTGTATCAAATTCTTTGTATTTCCAACGCTGACAGCATGGCTATCACTTGGCATGCAGCACGATCCACTTTATTGCTCTACTACAGAAAGTTTAAAAGATAAACTATTAGCTCAAAGGCTGGAATTAATATTGTTAAAAATTTACATTTTAACTCTTCTGACTCCTAGTCTCTAAATAATTTCTTTAGTAACTTTTTTTTCATAAATATGGCTAAAACCCACTTTCCCATACTCAGTTATGTTTATTGTTTCATTTGCCTAGGATAAATTCTTCACATCTCAACTATAAAGCTTTTTGTTGCAACTTAGAGGACTTATTCTTCAGAACAACTCGTACTACATGGAATTATGGAAAGTCCAATGTTTTCCTACAAATAAAATTTACATAATTTGGAAAGGCATTATTGCTATATCTACATCATCTCTGGGCCCTCTCCCGATGTTTTTCTGAAACACACACACACACACACAAAACACGCTGACTGTTCAGAGCTATCACAGTGAAGTCTGATGACTCATCTCATGCAGAAGCACCATGTGAATGCCGACAGAACATCAGTATCCTTCCTCTTCTATTTACCATTCTCCCTGAAACACCGGATTTGGCACAGAGAGTAGGGCTAATGTCTCTGAAAAAACAGCTCAGCTTTCCATCAAAGGCTGGCACACTTACCCTTGTGTCAATTCAGCTAGGATGGCTTCAAGAACAACCACTGACTATGGTTTATTTTTATAGAAAAGTTCTCTCCTATATGGTGGGCGTGCACTCAGTCTCTTCCATGCTGCTACTAGTGGACAAATTAATCTTCCAAGCATAGATTTCCTTAGGCAATTACCTGAAACCGAAAACTGTTTCTTGGCAATCCACGGGAAAAACCCCAAACACACTGGCAAGAGATGCCAGTTTCCCAGCAACTTAAACCCAATCTACCTCCTAGGCCTTATGTTCCACAACCATATCCTAAATATGTGCTTTTGGATGTCTCCTGATCTACCTTGAAAGGCTTTTTCCCAGCTCCTCTGACCCTTGAACAACTTCTGCCTCTGAAGAACCACAATAGCATTCATTTATCTGGCCCTAAATCAACTGCCTCTGCAGTTGATTTATGTTTAGTTATATTCTCAGCAGCCCCGCCTAGACAGTAAACCTCAAGTATCAGATTGTGTATTATCTCTCGTTTCATCTCCACAACACCTAACATACTTGATTAACCAAGGGACTCAGTTAATAGTCTCAAGTTTGGATGATACGCCTTTTGGAAAGCATCTCTTGAAAGGCATTGCATGAGAAGTTTATACAATATTCCATGCCTTTTTTTTTCTGTTCAGTATTTCAACACAAGGCCAAAGTCTAAACATTTCACACAACATACAGGAAAAAGAAAAACTAAGTATCTCTGATAAAGCATAATCGTACATGCCTGAGAAAAACAGACCAACAGTAAGAAAAACAAAATAGAGAAGGGATTTAGAGAGATAATGACAGACACACCCGGGATGGAATCCTAACTCTGCTGTGTGACCTTGCGCAAGTCACTGAACTAATCTGCAATCCAATACTCGCTGATCAAATCGGAAACTGAAAAGTGATGTGGAAAGGATTAAAAGGCGAAATGCAGGCAAAGCGTTAAGTGCAAGGCTCGTAACACGGTTAGTGCTTAGTACATGTTAGCTGTCACTCTTATTAAAAGGAAGGAAACCAGCAAAAGTAACAGCTGTGAATCTGACCCGGCCCTCTAGTTCCAGAGCATTTCCTAGGAGCTACACTCAGGACACAGGGAGATGGAGAGGATGAGTTTCCTGTTCTTAAGAGCAAACGTCCCCCGACACCCTGGCTCACGGCTCGGGGCAACAGAGCAGCGAAGAAGGTGCCGCGACTCCATCGCTGGCCAAGGGCCGACGTGAAGCAGCCTCCTGGTGCGGCCCTGCTGGGCTGGCTGGCCAGTCTCGGCGCCCCCACACCCGCCTCCCAGGCCCAGCTGCACCGTTAGCGGCTCCGGGCCTCGCCGCACTCCCGACTACAGGGAACTACTCCGGGCGGTTACCAGGCAAGAGAGGCAGGTGATTGCCCATGTTGTGCGCAGCGTCCTGCTGATCTCCTTCGCCGGCCATGTCTGTTTACCCGCAAAGGAGGCTGGGACAGGGCGGTGCCGGAGACTCCGGGGGAGGGTCCGCGTCTCGCCGCTGCCGCGCACCGGGGCCACAGCGCCCCCTGGCGGCCCCAGAGGAGCAGACGGCGGCGCGTACCCAAGCCTGGGAGTGATGCCCTAGGCGGAAGGGACAATTACAGGCCTGCGCTCCGCACCAGGGACAGAACGCCGTCCCCCGCCATCCAGGGCTGAGTGCCCGGCGTACACGCTGCAGAGTCCTCACCTTGTTCCAGCCTTTAGCATGACTTATTTAATCGTACTATTTTGCATATGGAGAAACTGAGGCTGAGAGCCTTTAGTCTCCACCTTGTTTTTAAACGAAGAGGGTAGGGAGTAAATAGAAACCTGTTCATGCAGCAATAGTTTCAATTCTTAAAATATGAAGCATATATAAAATAAGCATATATGTGAAGGCTGGGGGAATCCATCAGTTATTCCGAGGGTGGTTAAATTATTGCTGATTTTCTTCAGTAGTTTCAATATATGTACATGTAACTTCAATAACTTCAGTAGTTTCCATATATGTACATTACATTACAAAATCAACAAGTATTAATCAGAAACATACTTGAAATGATTCCACAGAATGGAAAACGCCTATAATTGGTAAATAAAACTGTCTAAATATAAACTAACCTACTCATTATGACTTCAGCTATGTAAAAACAAGTCACTGTGGCAAAAAAGAAATAAAGACTATGTAAAAAATGAAGATGATTCTGTTATAATGGTGGAGTTGTGACTGGCAAGATATTTGTTTTGGAGGGTGGACAAAAGTTTTCGTAGTGTACTTTCAATATCATTTTTTCGGCGAGGAAGGAAAACTGAAAAATCCTTAAATGAGATAAAACAGCTTAACATGGTAGAGGTGGTGGTGGGTGGAGGCTGAGAGGCAGCAGCAGCATTGCTCAACAGCAAAGTCATGGATCTAGATTTGAAAAAATGATTTCAGAAAATTTGCCTCCCTGATAAGTTACAAGCGGAAAACTCCCTTGTGACAGAGGTTTGTGAATCATTCCTGTGTCATTTTGCCTCCTGTCTCCGAATCAGTCTGTGGTCTTGGTCAAATCACTTATGGCCTCAGGCCTCAATTCACCCGTTTGCAAAATAAGAATAAACCAAATAGTGTCTCCTATTTGTTCCAGTTAATAATGTCTGCAACATACGATTAGGTTAATAACAATTACATATACTACATAATGAGTTAACAGAGTTAAGGTGATCACTCCAGTCAATTGAAGGATGATTATATGCCACAATACCAGAACAGAACGATGAGGGAATGGCCGGTGTGTGGGTGTGCGTGTGTGTGCACACGTGAAAGAGAGAACGCGGGCAAGCAGGGAGCATGCACTAAGTAATATGTGTGTGTGTTTGATGCTGTAGCATTATCAGTCTCATTATAGTTTGTAGAATTTCAATAACCTGTGCTTACCTGCAGCAGAATTTTCTTTATGCAAGCATCTGGCTTCTAAACAAGTAAGCTCTGACTTTCCAGTCATTCTCCCCAGAGGTGATATCAGAATTGTCTGAACCCTGGGTCAATCAAGAATTCTTTGGACAAGAAAGCACAGCTGTAAGCCTGGTGGAGTCCACAGATGTGGCTGGAAAAGCACTGTTTTTCTTTCTTCTTTTGTGCATTGCTGCAGATCACCAGAGCTCACATCTGCTTATCTTTTACTCCCCCATTCTCCTCTTTTTCTCCCCTCTCTTCACATTCACCATCTGCTCCCTCCTTCATGTTATCCCTCCAGAGTCTACCCAGTCATCCATAGCTACACCTTTCAATAGGGATAACAACAGATGATCATTGAACAAAAATATCTAAGCAAGCAGGTTTCTTGGATTAAGCACTGGTCATTAAAACCAAAAGAAAAACATGATCATTTACCATTTATGTTTAATTTGGTAACTTTATCCTGAAAGAAGATATCATACTGAGTTGTTCCTCACATTTCCTCTTGCTTGCATGAAGTATCAATGGATAAGGAACTCTGCAAACCAGAGGGAAAAGAAATATATAGGTTCATAGATCACTGTCTTACAGCTCAAGAATTAACTTTAATAGTGCAGAATTAAGGGTGGTAGAAGATGGGAGAAAATGTAAATGAAAGAGACTATCGTTCTTTCAATTTCTGGCTTCTACACAATATTAGCAGCAAGGGATATGTATACTGGGAAAAGACATTTCGGTCTCCCCACCCCCCTGGTTTTTTTTGTATTTTTTTTTCTCTCTCTCTCCCCCCCATATAGATAGATGGATAGAGAGATAGATAATTTTTTTTTTTTTCTCGCAACAGGGTCTTGCTCTGTTCCAGGCTGTAGTGCAGTAGTGCAATCTTGGCTCACTGCACCTGCCACCTCCTGGGCTCAAGTGATCTTCCCGCCTCAGCCTCCAGAGTAGCTGGGACCGTAGGCACCAGCCACCACAGTCAGCTAATTTTTGTATTTTTTGTAGAGATGGGGTTTTGTCATGTTACCCAGGCTGATCTTGAACTCCTAAGCTTAAGTAATCTGCCCACCTCCACCTCCCAAAGTGCTGGGATTAAGGGATTAAGGCATGAGCCACCACGCCCAGCCTCTACATATTTTTTAATGTGTTAAAGAATGCTACTACTCTTGTCTAAGCAGTTGATTATCTCTTGCCTGGAGTATGGCAATAGCATCAATCCCGGTTTCTCGGCTTCTACCCTTAGTTCTTACAGTGCTTTTTCAACAAAGTCTGAGCGATCCTGTTAAAGCACAAGTCAGATTATGTGACTCCCCACTCAGTACCCTTCCTTGGCTCCCCATCTCCCTTGCAGTGGCCCTTATAGTGCACAGTGGGCCCCCTGTATCCTTCCCTGATGTCACTTCCCTACTGCTCTGTGGGCTTTCCCTCCCCTCCATCAACACTGACCTTCTTCTTCCACAACCACATGGACCCATGGCCACCTCAGGGCATTTGCAATTGCCTTTTCCTTTGGCTGGAATGCTCTCCTCCTGCATAGATGCATGACTTTCTCCCTTGTAACTTCCACATCTTGGGTCAAATACCCCTTCCTTGGGGAGTCCTTCCTACACTACCCAGTGTCAGATTGTGACCCTTTTCCCCGACTTCCCACCATTTTCTACCCTTCTTCTCTGCTTCATTTGCCTTCATCTAAGCATTTCTCAACTTTTAAAATACTATGAGACCTGGATAAGATAGTGAGACCCTGTTTCCAAAATAATAATAATATAATAATAAAATACTATGAGGCTTACTTTTAAAAACAGTCTCACTTCTCCCCACTCAAAAGTATAAAGTCTGGATGGGGGATTTCTGCTCCCAAGAACAGGTTCTGGCATTTAAAAGTTGCTCAAAAAATGTTCATTAAATGAAAGATAAATTGCACAGTTCTGGCAGACACCGATTTCCTACTGACTCAACAGCAATTCCTCTTTCCTTCCTTGCCAAGAACTCTAATTTTGTTTGGGGCAATAGTGTACTCTGCTATGGGGTCATGTTTTGCTGTAAGCCTATAATAATGAGCCCACTCTATTCCCCCAAGCTCCTCTATGGCTGATGATATCACCTGACCTGGTCCTGGCTAATGACACCTAGAGAAAGTCAGCTTGGTAACCTCTAAGGATGATGAAGAGGGAAGACAACTTTAAGAAGAGATTTTCCTCCATGATGAAAGGCAAAGATGTCATTCCTCCCCACTTCCTGCTGGGATGAAGATTAAGACCCATATTGGTTTGATGGATAAAACCAGCCAACCTAGTCCAAAGATCCAAAATTGTTTTTAAAGGTAATTGTGGACTTTAGAAAAAGCAAAGCTAGATTAACTTGTAGGCGTATTTGGTTATCGTTTTTTGAATAGATGAATTCATTAATTTTGGAAGTGCATAAATCTTCCAATGCTTTCTCCCTTGGGGCAAAAGCACAGGTGAGACAAGCAGCTCCACGGACATGTTCCTCTCACAGTGCCACAGTTCCCTCGGCCACTCTGTGAGACGCAGGTCACAAACAGGTGACCTCTCAAGCTAGAGGCTTTCTTGCCCTGTGCGGTATTTTGAGTTTTTGAGTTATATGATTGCCAGCCAGCATTTGGCAATTGAAGAATACACATACCAATATTGATTTCCTGCTTCTCTTTAAAACTGGGAAGATTTGGCCACCATAAGTCAGATTCATGCATGGGAACAATTATCTCTGACTAAATAACAATGCCTGGTTTAGTTGGGGCAACCCCTGTTGGTCACAGAAGCCAACAAGCCAGTGTGTGTGTGTGTGTGTGTGTGTGTGTGTGTGTGTGTTACCTGCCTTGGTCTGGCCTGCATTTGTGTGTGCAACCACTTATATGAGTGTGTAGCAATTGATAGAGCAACCCTACATTGGGATTTGGCCAGGACAGCCTTGGTTTGTGTGTGGTGTATCAGCATAACTACCAGAGCAGCCCCACCCCTTGCCCCATTCCACTCTTCAAAGTGTGCCAGTTTGTACAATAAATTGTCCTACATATAGAGCAGTAGAGGTGCTTGCAGCACCGTGATGGGGCTATGTGGACATCGTTATCTGCCTGGGGAGTCCCATTCATAATCAGCCTCCCTTGACAAGGAAGGATCATAACTATGGATCTGTAAATCCTTTGTAGCTCTCTGATTCAGTCATAGAGAATCATGTTCATGAATTTTCTTAGAACTATGCTAGTTGTGCTGTCGCTAACTTAAAGAGTCTTTAGAGTTAAATCAGGGTAATTCTCAAGTTCCCAGTCCACAGAGGCTACAAACAGTTTCCTAAACTTGCCTCAGTGGAAAAATCTTTTAAACTTTTTGGCAACCTATATATCAGGAAAAATAGTAACGTATTCAGGAATGCATTTTTTTTTTTTTTTTTAAAGTCTACTTCTTACCATCAAGCTCAGGGGCTGGAAGTCATGGCTGTGGAATGTGTATGGCAGCATCTGATCCTGTAAATCCCAGAGTTATGAGGGAATGAAAGATAGATCTTGTCAGCTTTATGCAGACCTA